CGGTTTCGGGAAACAAGGTGTGCATGTACAGTACACGCTGGTCTGCCAGTGCGTAATGATAATGGAGATGCATCATGTGTGCTCTTTTACAGCAATCCATCTACATTAATCACAATCGCTTTCTTTAATCCTATCGCCATGACTGATATTCTTCGGAAAGTTGTAATGATTCACAGATTTTTAGAGGAGAATTTGTGAAATAGAAATTAAATGAGGTTATAGAGATTTGTAGAGAATAATCAATGTTTCAATGAAAATAATGGTAATAAAATAATTTAACTACAATGTATTTCAAATTAACCCTCTGTAGGACTATGTTGATTTGTTTCATTTTAATCAAAATGGTGAATAAAATGAAGCAATCGGTTGATTTAAACTTTTACACGCTCAGGCGTGAAAGTTCGTCATTGCAAGTTGAAAGTTACAATATATGTTCGTTTGATGAAATTATTGAAACTATTGGATACATTGTTAATTCGTATTCGTATGTGGATATTTATTAATTTTGTACTGTATAGATTTCGTTATAATCATGAACAAAAATTCGGTCCATAGAGGGTTAAAGAATTTTATAATTTCATGATTTGATAATCAAAAGGCGACAGGATTAAGTCGAAAGTCTTTGACAGTGTGCTCCAAATTTCTACAAAACACTTCACTCAATAAATCTTGAGTCCTTCAAAGATTATTTTCGTTTGCAAGAAACCGTCTAAAATATATGCAAACCTAACAACAAGTTCTACATTGTTGTTGGGTAGACAATGACGTAGTGTCGAGGAACGTTCGAATATCTGCACCATAGTGGAATATAAATGCGCACCATACAAAATAACAGTTAGAATACAATTCTTTCATTAACACGTTGAATGCCGTGGGGGTCACCGATGACCCACCCAAATCGAATTATAACTCAGTCAATTAAACGATCATTATTTGCAAATATTTTTATATTACAAATAATGCTATCTAAACGTGTTAAATCAAATTCAATTGGTCGCAGGAATTTTGTTTCAGTTAATTTATATTAATATATCAAATCAACGATACAACTCGTAATAAAAAACTTCGAGTACATTGTATTCCAACGTTCGTTGCAGATAGTTGAACGCAAGTACGAAAGATCATGTGAACGTCCGCGTAAAACAAAGACGAAACATTATCTCTGTATCGTTTCACACGCACGCTTCGAGTCTGCGGTATATCTTTCGTACGTGTTCTACCCAACACGTTTACAAACACTCAGTCTCTAATATATTAGTCTACTTGTAAGTATCTACTGGACCAATCGCCCTCGAACGATCCGTACAGTGCTTACCGTCCCGTTCGTTACTGGACAGTTGAAAATATACAAGGTTCTTCGAATGTTATTCAACCAACTACCAACAACTTCAATCTACACTGCGCTACTTGCAGCGTGAGGTCCACTGTTTTGACATTTTCCGAAAGGAACGTGAGAGGAGATAAAAGTGAAAAAGTGGTTTCCAACGACGATTCAATGATTGCTTACCAGTGTTTTCTTCTCACGTGGATGCCACTATTTATGGACCGTGTGCGAGGTCAAAGGGATTCCTCGATATGTGTATACATGTACGCAGCTAGCGACGCTTAAAAACTGAACATTTTAATAATCGTAATATTTGTAGTTCTACGTTGCTTTCTATTGTGAGTGATTTGGAAACTGGACTCTGCAATAAGAGCAATGGAAAGAAAACAAATTGCGATTACTAGAGTGTCAGATTTTAGGCGACACTGGCTGTGTATGAAAGAGAGGTTATACTGTTCGTGTAGCATTGGGAGCTATGAGAAAACTTGAGAGTATTTCTTACGATGAAGATCCATGCATAAGGTGTCTACAGAATCGAAAGGGGGAATGTTCTCTGCAATGAAGATCCATGCACTCTTCGCAGGGTGTATGAAGAATCCAAAGGTGAAATTTACGTGAAAATGTTGGGTGCTACAGAATACTGGATTTGCTAAGGCTTCTCTATTTCGACATGATATTGAGGGTGTATACTAATTTAATCCATGAAGATTGGCTGGAACTCGTTCAGAATGTGAGGAGTAGTCGAAAACATTGTATCACTGGGGAACTTTGGGTAAAAACAATTATACAGTATTGAAGATGGTATGTACATTCGCATTAAAAGACTATAAAAGAGGGTAACTATGACCAGACAATTTTGGGGCACTTAAAAAGGTGTAACAACGAACTCAGCACAGTTTGGAAGGTCATCATTCATCTAATAGAAAAGAGAACTTTGGGGTACTTCAAAATATGTAAGGACAAATTCAATACATTCTTGGACATCAAAACGTCATTCGTCTAATAAAAAAGAGATCTTTGGGACACTACAAAATATCTAAGGACAAATTCAATACAATCTTGGGATAACAAAATGTCATTCAACCTCTAAAAAGAACAACTTTGGGACACTATAAAAAATCCAAGAGCAGATTCAATCCATTCTTGATTCAACAAAACATTGCCTAGTTGTAGAAAAAGAAAATTTTAGGGTTTCCATTCAGGGTAACATTTGTAAATGCTAGATACACTGGATGTATCTACTAATGAGATGAAATAATAATTAAGGAATGTTTTTGTGATCTCTTAACAAGATCACAGACGAAACGTAAGACAAGACAAGGGGGCAATCTTCCATGGGGCTAACTAAACAAATCAGAGTTTGTCAGGTGTCTCTACACGTGGCTACCTTCTCAATCAGTTCGATACAAGCGGCCAAGTCCATTCCGAAGTCAATGAACTGCCAGACGATACCCTCTTTCTTATATTCCTCTTGCTCGAGGACAAACATGTGGTGGTTGAAGAATTGTTGTAGTTTCTCATTGGTGAAGTTGATGCAAAGTTGCTCGAAGCCGTTATACTGAAGAATGAAATGATGTGTAAAGTGTTCGATCACAGTTTGTGCTGATCTCAAGTGCAAGAGAATGTAATGACAAGCGACAAATGGAGAAATTTTGAGGGTCCTACGTGTGTTTCACATTTCGTGAAGAACCATTGTGTGGCAAGTGGCGAATGTGGCAGAGTTGCCTAAGTTTCGCTTGTAAGTAATTTCGTGGAAAATAGTTTCATTAACAATCCCTTAATGTTTAGAGAATTATATCTTCAATTCCTCTTAACTAACATGGAAAAGAAATAATTCATCAGTTATTCGTTCTTAATATTATGTTGTGTCTCAATAGTATTATGGTACTAGTTGTTTCGCGTATTTGTGTTCGTGTCATTTATATATATATATATCTGTGAATCACGTTGGCGATTGCTTGCTCTGTTTGGTCAAATGCATTGCAGCTATTTCATGGATTACGTATGAAACATCTGTACTGGAAACTAATTTATTATAATTCAAGTTGTAACCTGTTTTGCATTCTTATAATTCTGTCTATTAAGAATGTAATTTTAAAGTATTATTGAAACATTCAATAATTGGGGATACAGACGTTTAAATTGAAGAAGAAAGTAAGACTCTTTAGTCTTAATTAGAAGACTAAAGTATATACAATACTATAGTATATCAGTAGCTATTAAGTAACTATTAAAATATACTATAGTCCCTGCAAGACAGTGTTCCTCAGAAAACCAAAATTCTTCGTGTCAAACGAATCGCCAACGATGATCGATATGAAGGTAAGTATCGATCAGAGTTTATAAGAGGAAACTTACGTCGAAGATCTCAAAACCGGCAATATCCAGTACACCAATGAAGTGCTGTCTCTTCTGTTTGGTATCCAGGGTCTCGTTACACTTCTTCACCAGCCATTTGAACAGCCTGTCGAACATGGCCTTCGACATGGCGCCCACGGAGTACGCTACTTGATCCTTGTTACGACCTTGTGTCACGAACTCGTTACCGACCTTGATCCTTGGTTTCAACAAGTTCTTGTAAAGGTCGGCACAGTCGCAACCGAGCAACTTGGCGACTCGTTCACCTTCCTACGGTGATCATTTGAATAATTTGTAAAAGGGGACACATGGACATTCGTCAAAATCACTGAACCCATTCGAGACCAGGATTTCCTTCAAAGACGAAATCACTGTTTTCATCATTACTCGCGATTTTTTATAATCCCGGTGTTGATCGTAGGTTATTCTTTTTAGTTCTGATTCCTGCACACCAGTAAGTTTTACTACTAACTGGTGAAGTAAGGTAGATTCAGTACTAAATGGTAATTGAGATTCATAATCACACGCGGTGTGCAATTATTTTGGAAACGCATTACACTGCCGGTGTGTAATCTGTCTCAAATGGGTGAAATGGATTAACTCTCAGATTAACTTTCTTTTTAATCAGAAGTGTGTGAACACGTGAAAAGAGAAGATTTTAACGTAAAAGAGCAATGAAATAAACTACAAGAAACTGAAAGGGGAAAAAATGATCTGAGAATCAAGGATTGTAACGTAAAGGACGAATAAAAAAATTACAAAAAACTGAAAGGAAATAAAATGGCACAGAAACGGCCAGAAAAGTCACCGATCGACTAAAAATCCAAGGATCAAAGTTTCCGACCAAATGACTTATTTCCGAACAGGAACGCCGCAGGAAACGCTAATTACCTCAGTGCCATCGGCTTCAGCCTGTTCCTCACGACCCCTTTGCTTGAACTTCATGCCACCCATGTGCATGACAGCGGCGGTGATTTTGTAGATGTCGTTCTTCTCCTCCTGGGTGAATCCCAGCACATCGAAGGCTTGCTATTATCACAAAACGAACAATCAGCAACCATACTACAGTCTTTCGTACCAGAAGCGATTCGTCAGCAGGAAGATGTCTATCAAAGCGACCGCTTCGTTCGCCTGCGACCGAACGTCACGCAGGAAACCAATGTACCCATAAAAAACGAAGCGACCGCCAATACACAACTACGATACAAGCTTCGGAAGACACTTCTGGTACGCTCGTGAATCGTTATTCATGAGAATGCTCGATCGTTATTGGAGGAAGCACACAAAGACGACACAGGTAGCAATGAAACTGAAGCGAAAAAGCGGGCTTGTCCTTCGGTGATCTTTTCATTTCCAAGGGACTATCGCAATGAACGGTCCACGAGAATGAACAGAATAACTGATAACATCTCGGGAACGCTACGGCTAAGCAAAATCGCATCGTTTTCGAATTCAGGCCGCAAGCTTGTCAATTTGGACGCCAAGCCTTGTTCGCTGTAGAAGCTGCAAGTAGCCGGCGTTTCTTTTTTAAACACAAAAAGGGAAGCTCAAAAGCGAAAGCGATATTCGTATCACGTGGCTACGTCTCTTAAAATCCGCGTTCAGACACCGGGCGACAAAAATAGAGAGTTGTACAAAACTGACAGAGACGAAGAGGGTGGATGAAAAATCAGGGATCCCGAGAAAACGACGAAGGAGGATCGACGATCCTTTGTGTTCCAATCGCCTTAGCACAGCGATGGCCTCCTTCGTTACTGTAAACGTGGGATCATCAAAAATCAGTTCTCGCTCGCATCCTCTGGCGAGGCTGCCCGAAGAGGAACGCGTCCTTCGGGCTCGGCGCTATCGTCCACCACGGTTTCACGGGCAATTCGAGGTTGCAGCAGGAATCGAACCGCACCTCTGGACCGAAGTCTGACCGAGCGACGAGAATTTTCATCTCGAGGCTGCCCCTTGTCACAAGCGAGCCAATGAGAATACCAAGTTTCCCAAATCTACCGGGAAATGGAGGTGAAATCACTACCGTACAAATTCTTCGTGGGAAATCTCTCGTTGTGTCGTCTGGGGGATCACCTATCGACTGACACTTCTTTGGAATCGGGGTAGATTCGTTTTGTTAGCAATTGATTTGTTTTGGAATAAACGACCGTTTTTTGGTTGATATTGATCATTTCATGCGAATAGAGTGATCGAATTGATATCGATCATTTCATGCGAATAAAGTGATCGAATTGATATTGATCATTTCATGTGAGCAAAGTGATTGAATTTATATTGATCATTTCATGTGAAGTGATCGAATTGATATTGATCATTGAAGTGACTGAAATGAAGTTAGAAACCGATGTGGTAAGTACTTCAAAGTGTCAGACAATTGGCTTGAATTATTCTTGGGTAATTATTCTTGGATAGTCTTAGAGGACTACTACCAAATCGTGGACGTATATACTGAAAACAATAAACGAGGGTTTTGGGTATTATGTATAAATTTGTTCAGTTACGATTGCTTTTGGTGAATGAATATAAGGAACGTAGTCAATGATTTTTATGAGATTGATCTATAAGAATTTTCTATGGTAGATCAGAGTTCAGTATAAAATGTTGTTGCAACCCTCTGTTTCTTGCTTATGTACTTGGAATTTGGTGAGTTGTAGTCTCTTCTAAGAGACTGTAGTTCCAGGTTAAAAGTTGGATTAACCAAATGGATACAGGGAAGAGTGAAACGATAAAGAAAGTCGGAGTTTCAATGTCTATGTACATGGAGTCCCAACGAGTAAATAGTAACGACAGATATTACTTCATGAGTTCGTTCCTTGCTAGATCGAAGAAATTTAGCAGCTCAAGTTACCCATCAGCTTGAATATAAAACTCAAACGAAACATTCGAAATTAGACTTTTTGAACGATAATTCAAATTAAAAACTAAAATTAACTAAAACAAAACATTGATAATTCTCTACAGTGAAATTCAAATCTGAAGTGAAAGTATCAAGATAAGAGTAAACATTTGCATTAGATGTCCATGAAAATGGAACTTTGTCACAAATTGAAATTGAAATTCAACGTACATATCTGTATCAATGATAGTTCGTTACTATTTACAAATTCAGTCCGCATTTAGGGGAAAACCGTTGGATACCCGATCAGTGTCGATCGTGTTCGAGCCTGTAAACAGGGCGAGATAGAATTCTACTTATAACAAGGTACACAGTGAAAGGTGAAAGGGTACGAGCGTAAAAATACGGAGTCTGGAGACACGTGGATCTACGAATCCATTTCTCTAGGACTTACGTCCGTCAGCAGACATTCCTCGCCGTCGTCGACGTTGGGGATCGTGATTTTTCCTTGGGACACGTTGTTATAGTCGTATATGTTGTTGGACAAGAAACATTGTTCTGCGAAGCATTTCAAAGAAAACAGGTTACAGCGCAACGATACCGTGCGAGACTAAATAACAATCGACGTTCACGAGGCCGATAGAAATTCCCTGTCCTCGGTGCCGAATGTTTCAATGATCCTCCAGTCTCTGGACCTAAAGATCTCCCTAAACCTCAGCCTAAACAATGCTAAATACATGGGTCAAATCGATAACAGTTAAAATCCGTGTATCAAGATCTGTTAACACATTAGCGATCGTAGATAATTCTCCAAGACAATGCCCATTCTACAGCTGAATACCGAAAGTATTGGCGAATTTGGCGAATTTCGAAATTTTGACTATTTTCTGTACAGTTATCCTTTTTAGCAACAATTATTCACTATTTGGCGTTGCAATCTTTGCATTACACCACTGTCAACTTAGTTACGTTATTAAACATTTTGACTCGACATCGATTATTTTGTATGTCACAATTATTTTCAAGTAGTTCAGAAGCGTCAGTCATCGGTGACTGACATAACATTTAACGTGTTGAGTAACCATTGTAAAAAACGTGAAACGACGTGCTATTATAGTTAACGGCATTTTATGGACGCCAACAGTATACCGAAATCAAAGTTTTAAAGCGCCAGCAGCAGCCAAGTTAGATCACTGAATTGCCAAAATGACTAGTACACAATTTCACGAAATTCGGAGGAACACAGAGAGTGTTCTGTCACCGCATTTGCATATAATCCGATAAAAAGAAAATAATGAATTGATTGCAAACTGCCTTAGTTGCTAAAAAAAGACAATTTCACGTAACGTCGATTACATTGCCAGTTCGTTGGTAAACAATGAAGAACATTAAGTCACATATTATTAAGATCACGGTATTCAGCTAAAGAATCTCGAACGACTTAGAACTACGTCTCCGGTCCCGAATGCGTTAACCCTTTGCGGTCTGAAGTGCTCTTGGCATGTTGCTTTCACCCCTTGCCTTACAATAACGTGTCAGACACATGATGCAAATTTCAAAGAGAATTAAAGTAGCAAATGTTGCAATATTATTCTATTATCAATTATTACACTTTACAGGAAAGATTCATATAGAATATGCCTCTAATTTTGTCTGTTTTCTCAACGAATCATCAATGACAAAGTAGTTGATCGTAGCAGAGAAGTAAATCATAGAGCAAGGGGTTAAGCTTCACACCGACATTATCATTCAATTACAACTTAACATAACGCTCCGATTATTCATTAAAGAATAATTAGGAATCAAATGGTACCATTCAATGGTACAACTGTGTGACTATAAATGAACAATAGAAAACATTCCTAAAACAAGTAGACGTTGCAATAAAATCTGATGTCGAGTCTGACTCGACACAGGACTGCTAAGGGTTAATTCTGTCGAGCTGCAGCGGATGCGCGGCGAGTTTGCTGGCGCAGATAAAAAAAATGGTTGGTAAGTCGGAGCTGATCGGGGAGCGGGTACCCTGGGGGCTTGTTTTCCTCGAGTCAAATTTTTGCGTGTCGAGATGTAAACTACACTCGTTTCATCCCCCAATCCCCCCGCATCCCGATTGCGGCGGCAGGAAGCTTTCGCAGGCGGGGCGCGAGGGGGTTGCGAAAACCTCGGTGCCATCTTTCCACTACCGTTCAATTATTCATTTCACAAAGCAGAAACTGTCTTGTACAATTCGATAACACGTTAACCACGAAACGAATCGTCCAAGACAACTTCGAAGGGATGTTTTCTTTGTAACTAGTAAACAAGTGGAACGATGAATGACGTTTGCTTCGGTGATTTTGATTGGTTTATGGGACCAAACGGTTGGCAAGGTAGTCGAAAGTGAACCGAGGCCTCAAACGCACCCTGGGATTGGACTTACGTCCGTCTCCTCCATGTCGTCGGCGTCGTTGACTCCAGGAATTCTGGTCTTACCCTGGCTAATGTACCAATAGTCCCCGATCCGGTTGCTCAGTAGGGTTAATTCTGCATTATTTTGCTCGGTATAAGCTCTGGCTGCTTTACGAGCGACTATATCGTTGAAGCGTATCACTTTGCAATCACCGTGGATTTCGGACACTGTGTCTTATCGTGTGATAGTATGATATATCGTACATCAGCACTGACATTTTTCTAGTGAGGTCTATCGTTGCTGTAGAGTTTTATAATAGTATTCAATTTTGATTGTAATGATTATTGGAAATCCTGAGGGATTGCAATGTGACGCACGTGAACAAGAAAAGAACAACAAATGGCAGATTATTTGCGACAGGTAAATGCTGAAAGAGAGAAAGAGAGAAAGAGAGAGATAGAGAGAGAGAGAGAGAGAAGTGAAGAGAAAGAAAGAGCGATAGAGAAGGAAGAAAGAAAACCAAGGAAGAGAGAAACAGAAGAAAGTATGAGATCATAGATTGAAAAGCAGAGACGACAAGTTTTCTGTTCGAGTGATTCTTGTCCAAATTGCTCTGTGTACGTGTATGTGTACGTGTATGTGTACGTGTATGTGTATGTATATTTGTTTAGATATGTGCGGTGTTAAGAAGAGTATGAGCTGGTTACGTTTTAATAGAAAAGTGGCATACCGAAGAGAGCTAAGACAGATAGATAAGACAACAGAGAAAAAAGAGACAGAGAGAAAAAGATACGGCAAACAGCGGAAAATCTGGACACAACAAAACGATACTGCACATAACAATGATGAAAAGATCGTGGGTGGGGTGAAAAATGATGTCTCGCTGAGATTACAGATAGACGAAACAAACGTGGCTCGTCTCGAAGAGCGTCTTGTTTCTTTTGAAACAACGGAATAGTGGTGAAAGACAGAATTACTTGATAGTCACAGTGTTCAAGATGGAATTGTTCATGTGGAAAATTCTTCTTTCTATCGTCCAGGATTCGAACGACGACCATTTTCTCGCGTGTACTCTTGTACAAGTGAAAAATATTTTTATATTTATATTTTTCTCATTACTACTTATTCGGTATTCGATCAATTTTATTTTGTTTTCTATTGCTCTCGAATGAATTCTATGTTATTCCTTTTTTTTAATGATTTCGAGCGCGAAGCGGACAATTCAATCTTGAACGTTGCAAAGTAGAGTGCTTGGCCGGTCAAAGGGAAGCACTTACATCAGTAATCAACAGTTCTTCGCCATCATCGAGACCTGGGATTGTCGTCTTGCCTTGCGACACAAAGTAGTAGTCATGGATGTTGTTGGACAGCAGCAACATCTCTACAGGTGACCAACAAAGGAAACAAAAAAACATGCGGGCGTTAACTACCTACAAAGTGAGTACGCCATGTTTTCCAGTGGCTTTCCTCCGGGGTTTATTTACAAATTCCAACTCGTCCTGGGTGATCTCGTTTCGTTTCAGGACGACGATTCGTCAGGAAAATCGTTTGGTGCGTCGTTTCGGGGGTGGTTTATTATCTATCCGTCGTGGAGTTGTTTTACGAAACTCTTTCGACCCCGTCTCCCTTAAATTGTCTTCTCCTCGTGCTGATTCTCAATCCAGCTTCCAATTTTCTTAAGAATTTTCCAATAATCGCGAATTTTATAGATGTACATTGACATTTAACCCTTTCAGTCTTAACATAGATTAATCCAAAGGAATTTAGAAACTCGTATTTCCCATTTCAAATTCAACTGTATTACAAATACCTCCCACATATAAATTTAAACTAAAGAGAAAACAAGATACAAAAGGATAACAGTAAAATATTCGAACTTCAACAAGCAGAGCATGCTTGATGATAAACAATAATCGAGGAGCTTAGACAATTTTCGGGCACAGTCTTTCTTCAAGGAAACAACACACGGTACAGTTGTCTCGCGTACCGTTCCATGAACTCCTAGTCGCTTATTCGTAGGAGGTTCAATCGATCAGTTTAGGGAAGTCCTGTACTTGAAAAGGACCTTGGCAAAGGTGGAAAGGTGTTGTTACATACACGGGTGTAACGCAGGTTTTGTAACACTCATTCTACTGGGGAACAGAATCGAGGGGAGGATATCAAAACGAAAAGGTCCTGGCGTATTCTTCCCTTTGCCTCGGGACACCAAGGCCAAAAACACCATCGTCCAAACTTTATAGAAAACG